GAAGGCTGAGGCAGAAGGATCGCCGGAGCCCAGCAGGTCGAGGCTACAGTGGCCAGGAGTGGCCACTGCACTTCCAGTCTGGGCGACAGAGTGAGACTCCAACTCAAAAAATAAATAAATAAATAAATAAATAATTATCAAGAGAAGCCATAGCCTTTCCAATTTACTAAATGTGAGGGTCAAGGCATTTAGTCCAACCAATGGGGTCAAAACACCCAGGTTCATTTACAGTATGGAGAAGTAAGAGCACATCTTCTTCTCTTGCCAATTGTCATTCCTTTTGGGTACACCCCAGAGAATTATCAAACAGCAGCAGAGGTCAGCTGCCTACAGAAGCAAGCTCCCCAAATAAGTGTGCCAGCCTCCTGCTCCAAGGAAAAAGAGTTACAAGAGAGTAATCCCTAAGTCACTGGGTGACCACAAAAGATCCTAGGAAGCCACATTTCCAAGGCCCATTATTTTAGCTGTAAGTTCTCTTCCTTACATATAATATCAGAATTTTCTATTTGTGCCATATTGTGAAAAAAAGGTTAAAAACATTGTCATAGAGTGTGCCAGGTACTTGAAGGTTCTACACATACATTCTTCACCCCATTCCTCCAGAAAGCAATGAAACGAACAATTCTGCTCTTAAACAGTCACAGAAGACAGCCAAGTACTACCTGTCACTACTATTGGACAGTAGTGCTTCAGGACTTCTTAACAAAGCACAGAAACAGCAGAGCTGCCATGAAAGTGTACTTTTTTTTACCTGTTGAATTAAAGAGGACTATATAAAAGGGCTCATCGGTTTCTGGAATACCGTCTTCATTCACAAACACAGATATGAGCTGCTCTCGACTCCCAGCCTCAAAAACAAGTGTTCCTCCTTTGTCAAGGAGAACGAAGTCTCCCTCTCTTGCAGTAGCCTTCCCATCCATGGTTGCGTAGTGGACAGTGCAGGTAACATCGACAGACCCATTTCTGAGAACGGTGAAGTTGACAGTCTCCCCTTCCTGAACTCTCACAACACGAGGTTCTGAAACATCCACAAGGAAGGAAGTGTGAGCATTTCTGATTCCACCCACATTTTTAGATCACAGTGCACATCTCCTGCCCCTCCACAAGCCCTCTACTATCTTTGTAAAAGGATCAGTCCTATCCCCAACTCTGACCTGAGGTCCCTCTGATTACTCCAATAGTCAGTGGCCTCTTCCTTGTCTTAATTCCCATAAAACCAATTATCTCAACACCTAATTTGTCAGTCAATTATGTTCTTTCAAATCCTCTGCCTACTGTTTCATAAACCTCATTTCTAAGTTGAGGTGTGTAAGTTCCTTCAGAACAGGCCCAGATATCTTATGTTTTATTTTCATTTTTTTAGTCTTTTTCTCTTTTATCTTATGTTTTATTTTTACCACAGCAGTTAACAGAAGGTTCTGTATAAGGCTAATTCATGAATACGAATCAATAAAATTTAAGAGGTTTAACAGATTCCTGCATAGGTAAGTTATCTTTTTATAACCCAGTCCCACTCCAAAATTAAATAATAAATAATTTTTAAGACTGCCCTATGTACAGCTTACCAAAAGTTTCAAGAAAAATATCAGATATCAATTAAGTGTCATAAGTAAAATTAAAAGATGCCTCAGAGGCAGAAGGCAGTTCTTCATTTTTATCATTAACATGAAAATGAAGAAGCCCTAGTTAGTATTCCCATTCTATATTAGTTATGATTGCAAATGGCCACCCATCAGGCCCTCCCTGAACCAAATAACTGTGTATTAGAATAAATCACAGGGAAGAGCGTTCTTTTCTGAACAAAGGAAAGAAAATACCTCAGAATTTGAAAGGGGGAAATAAAACTAACAAAACATACTTAGTTTATTTCCTTTGCTTCAGAAGAACTTTAAAAAATATTTGTTAAAACTTCAAGCAGACTGAATGGCAATTATCAAGCCAATCATGAAAACATATTTAAACAAGCATCAATTGCACTTCATTGAAAATGTTCAGCTAAGAAAAGTATTTAAAACCATATATATACTATTTTTAAAAAGATGCAATTCACTGCGGTGAGATATGATACCACCTGCAAAATAAATAGGGTCGTCATTTCTTCTAATCCTCAGAACTGCTGTGGTCCTGTTTCCCACACTGGCTCCTCCAGTGGCATTAAGCAGGATAATGGTGAATTCTTCCATTTCCTCTGGAATCTTTTGGAAAATGTGACATGTTTATTTAAGTCGGGTGAGTTATACATATAATTATGTTACATATTCCTAAATTACTGTTTCTCTTCTTAAAAAGCTCCATTAATAGCACCAGTATTCACTTCCATGTCTGAGGCAGAACCTCCCTAAAATATTCAAGTGAGATTCAGCCCCTTCCCACCTCCCACAAATTGTTTATTAATGTTCATTCATCCAAAGAGCCACTTCATTTTGACTAACTATAAAATGTAATAGAAATATAGATATTTCACCTTATTTAAGCTAAACATAGATATGCCACATAGCTCATATTATTTCTATTAAAAAATGGGAAACGTTTATTTTTAAAAGCAACAGAAAATCAGCTTTTTAAACTAGAACGAAGCTCATAATAGTAACCAAAGCTCAACTGGCCTCTCCCAAACCTTGGTGAGATTCAATGTGAATGGGTCATCAAGACCTCACTCCCGTGTCCTAACAAGATGAGATTTCCCCCATCTTTGAGTCTAAATGAATCCCCAGTTGGACACGTTTTCTACTTCACCTCATCCATGTGAACTGGTGCCCTCTTCTCCCTAAAACAGAAAGGTGCTGACACTGCATCTCTCAAAGGATGGATCTGAGGGAAAGGGGACAGGCCTACACAGCTGTTCAAAGTGCCACTCCCCTCAGAAAGGTTTACTTCTTGCTGTTACTAAGGTCTTTCTGTTTACTATCAAAAAGAAGAAACACCGTGCTGGATCCATGACCCATATGGCCCAGTGTCCTGATTCTAAGAGCACACACAGGACACCTGGTAGATGGCCTTGTCTTCAAAAGGCCTACCTAAGTGCAAGCCAAGGGTCTAAAGTCTCCCAAAGCTGAGAGTCCTTGATATGAACCCATGAACCATGTCACTGACCACTCTCAGTACTAAGAGGCCAACATGCCCTCAGGTGAACCAAAAAATACTACTGTTTTTTTGGCTTGTAGTCAGACACTATCGTACCTGAGTTCTTTATCACATACTTTTATCACAAAATATATTTATTACCACAAGTCTAATTAGCTAATAAAAATAATTATTAATCAACTACAAGTAAAGCAGCAGAGAGTTATATATGCAACATTTACCTCGTCTGGAAGGGAGTAAATGGTGATATTTTTTGAAAACTCCTGATCTCCAAAGAAAAGAGTCCCTTGCACCGGAAATACATCTTCTGTAAAGTCCGGACTAACCACCCACGATACACTAACATCACCAAAGTTGCCTCGATTTCTTATTACACCATAAATAGCTGTGAAATACAAACGTGTATAATGCACGTGAATATGTATTAAACAACTTTAAAACAAGTAAAGAAATTACTCAAATTAAAAAAGTAAAATTGACACCTTTTCTTAATAAAAGCCAATTATTTGCGTCACACAGCCTCCAAGATACATATAAAAATATACTAGCCAATTCCTACCTCTGTGGGTATACTACTAATAAAATAAATGGACTCAATCTTCTCTGTCCCAGTTTGGGATTTTAAAAGACATTCGGCCTGGGAAACAGAATGAGGATTAATGAGGTTCACCCCATAAAGTCCTATAGGGAGATCTGCTAAAGGCAGTTATAGAAAGCTGCACACTCAAGAGAGATTTTCTTACCCAGATAGACACTGTTCTAAAAATAAAATATGTCTCATTTCCTGCCACTGCAATCATTCTACAGCAGTAACTCTTAGTTTTAAAGTTATCCCTGGCCAAGCACAGTGGCTCATGCCTGTAATCCCAGCACTTTGGGAGGCTGAGGCAAGAGGATTGCCTGAGCCTGGGCAACTTGGTGAGACCTCGCCTCTACAATAAATTAAGAAAAATTAGCCAGGCGTGGTGGCACATGCCTGTAGTTTCAGCTGAGGCATGAGGAAGGCTGAGGCAGAAGGATCACCTGAGTCCAGAAGGTCGAGGCTGCAGTGGCCGTAAGCGTGTCACTGCACTCCAGCCTGGGCAACAGAGTGAAACCCCGACTCATAAAAATAGATAGATAGATAGATAAATAGATAGATAGATAGATAGATAGATAGTTATCCCTTTGACAGTACTCAGTCTTTAGTGTTTGAGCTGTACTGCATCTGGTTAATCGAAATCAGAATATGTATAATTGAAGTCATCAGTTATATTTTGAAGTCATCAGTGTCATCCCAATCCTATGTAAGAAATACAGTGATACTAAATATGATATTTTGAAAGACAAATTTCTGCACTACATGTAATTTCTATGGTAGAATAGACAACTGAAAATAACTAGTTATTAAAGAAATAAATGAAAAAATGATTATATTTCTTCTTCAGGAAACAAAAATATGTGGGAGATCACCAAAAAAAAAAAACAAACCCGGAATTATTTTTTGGAGGGCGAGGTCCCAGCGGCATCAATGTACCAGCTAGCATTCTTGTGAGAGGCTGTGTTTGGCTTCAGTGATTTTTTTTTTTTTTTTGAGATTCCTTCAACATGTTTGTCCATTTCATGATGGGTGATTCACAAGCGCACCTGCCCACACTGCACTGAGTGTTCAGCAGTTTATGACAAAAAAATGGCATGATCTCCTTGCCCCACCTTCCCCATTCACCTGATCTCACCCTGAAAATACTTTTCTTTTTTGTTTCCCCCAGATGAAAAAGTTCTCAAAGGGAAACGTTTTTGCTGATGTGGAAGAAGTGAAACAAAAAATGGCAGAAGCACTAACAGGCCTCAAAATTGACAAGCTAAAACTGTTTTGAGCAGTGGAAAAAGCATCTTGATAGGTGTACTGCATCAAACGGAGAGTACTTGGAAGGTGGTTGAAGTTAAACATGTAAAAACAAATTCACAATCTAAGAAACAGGATAAATTACCACTGCAGATATCATCTCCTTTGCTTTCATCTATTGTCACAATTAGATCATCAGAAACAAATTCAAGGATCCCATGAGGGTCATCGTTTTTCAGAATCGTGATGTTGACCACGGTGGCACTTCCCAGCTTGCTCTCCCGTTCCCCATGGCTACTGAGGACCACCCAGTAGTGTTCATCCAACTAAAACGGACAAGTCAAAGCAGGAACAACGGAAAGCTGGTAAGTTCACAGCAAATGAAAACTATCAACATTCAAGAATATGAAGACATTCAATTTTTCAGAAATGTACAACTCACTGAGAGGACAAAAGAGCTGATGTTATTCCTAAAATATTTTTAACATTCTTCTATCAATTAAGAGAAATACTAGATATACACATACACTGTCCAAAAATGAAAAAGATAAACAATGATACCATTCTAAAATCGCAAGAAGATCGGATGTTACTATTGTGATCTAGTCATTTACACTTCCAAGACTAAGTAAAATAAAGTTAATTTAACGGCTACATATGCATTGATGAATTATACCTCGTTCTAGTCATATAAAATTTAAATTTTTTCTTCTAGTAAAGTAAAATTATAACAAAATGTCTTCCACTCAAAACCACGCCATTAAAATTTCAGCCAGGCCGGGTGCAGTTGCTCAAGCCTATAATCTCAGCACTTTGGCAGGCCAAGGTGAAAGGATTGCCTGAGCTCAGAGGTCCAAGACCAACCTGGGCAACTTGGTGAGACCTCATCTCTACAATAAATCAAAAAATAAGCTGGGCATGATAGCATATGCCTGTAGTTCCAGAGACTTGGAAGGCTGAGGCGGAAGGATTGGCTGAGCCCAGCAGGTCAAGGCTACGGTGGCTGTGAGCGTGCCACTGTACTCCAGCCTGGGCGACACAGTAAGACTCTAACTCAGAAAAAAAGTTACAGCCAGTACAGATTACATAAAATAAGTCAATATAAATAAAACCAATAGGAGATGAAAGTTGGTCACATGCTGAAAGTCTGACTGATATTTCATTATGTAGGACAAAAATACACTGAAAGTCTGCTTATTTGGTGTTTTATTATATAGGACTAAACTACACCACTCTTAAGTTGAATACGTCTTACTTTATTTTAGTTTTTGTTTGGTTTTGTTTTGAGTCAGTGTCTCACTTCTTGTCGCCCAGGCTGGAGTGCAGTGGCATGATCACACTTCACCACAGTGTCGACCTCCTGGACTCAAGCAATCCTTCCACCTCAGTCTTCCTAGTAACGAGGACTACAGGTGCACGCCACCATGTCTGACTAATTTTTTGGTTTTTTGTAACGATGAGGTCTCACTATGTTGCCCAGGCTGGTCTCGAACGCCTAAGCCCAAGCTATCCTCCCACCTCAGCCTCCCAAAGTGCTAGGATAACAAGTGTGAGACACTATATCTGGCCCAGCTTCTTTTTTTTCTTTTCCCAAATCTAAATTCTTCTCAATCCTTTCTTGCTCACTTCTGTCCTCTGTCTTCTTGCTAATGTACAAAATATTTGCCTTCATAATGTACCAGATACTATCAACCTTCCAAAATAAAACACAAGGAAAAAATAAAACCTCATACCTCTGGTATCCCATCCAATCTTGCTAGCAAGGTGATCACTATCTCTCTCTCTCCAGGTTTGAATTCTAGCACCCCCATGTTTCCATAGAATTCATTGCTATCTTTTGGCTCGATTAGGTAGTGTAGAAACTGCTTAACAAGTGCCCCCCTCGATCTGGTGATGTGGAGCTCTACAGATTCTCCTTCCTTTAAAAAAAGAAAACACACACACTCACACACACGCACGTTAAAAATCCTTTGTGCTGACTCTTCTGAAGTTGTGAGCACCGAATAAATGGAAGTTTTGTTTCTACTTACTTTTATAACATAGGGTCCTCTGGAAGCAGGAGAAAATTCAAAAATCCCTCCAGGATCATCATTTTCCAATATAATTAGGTCCCGGCTAGTATATCCAGATTTCAACACTTGATTTTCCACATTTACCCTGGAGAAGTCAGGGAGGAAAAAAGGCACACACTACTTAGAGTCTTATATCTGAATTTTGCAGGCAATATTGACAACTTTTCCAGATAATAAAAAGGAAGGTTATTGGGAACTAGACCTTAAAGTGAATTTACCTGTGTTAAAGTAAATTTAAGATCAAAACAGTTTTACACATAACAGTTACGGAAGAACTTTTATTTCTGAATTAATTATATATATTTTCATGAGGATGAAACTAAACACTGCATATTATACCAAGAATACGGTAACAGAAGGTTATACATATATTTTATTTATATAAGGTATTAAAACCTACAGATTTGACTCCACTTTTAGAAAAATTTAATTTATAAAATGCAGTCAGAACATATCTTAAAACAAAAGTGTTTTAGTTTTACATACACTTGAATTTCTTTTTTAAAAAGCTCATTACATAAGATTATACTGAATAAGGGTATATAAAAGATAGATAATTACATGGACTAAAGCAAGCCACATTGATTAAAAAAAACCACAATTATGATTAGATTTTAGGGACACTTTGTAGCTTTAATTCTTTCTCTTCACCATAATTTTAACCTCATGCATTAATTCTTTTAGTATAAAATATAGGACATCTAAGAAAAAAGAAATAGAATGGGTCCCAGATACATGACATGTTATGACAATTCCTACACATCTCACAAAAGAACACATTATAACAAAAAATTTTTTTTAATTTCTGGTTTTAATGTTCAGTGTGTAAATAGAATGATCAGGGACTTGGACTGCAAGGTTCTGGGGGTTTAAAAGCCAGCAGGATCTTACAAATTCTCAATCCTACAAGCACTTCTAAACCTTTCCAAACATTACTTCCTTCTGAACCAAAAAAAACTCATGATCATATGTCAAAATCACAATGAAACTGATGAATATGTAGAAATATGTGGCAGACAGCTCACTCCCTATGTAATAGAGAATCTAAATTAACATCCATCCCTAATTAGCTTTTACAAATCTGACAATCAATACCTAGCATGCTATTGACCACAGGAGAGTTCAAATAATAGGAGAGTTAATTATTACATTGTTAATAACAGTCATAAGATTTTCATAGCAAATTTTCCCATTTATATCAATATCTCATTAAAATGTATTCATTAAAACTGCTTATGTTATATAAGCTAGAAGACAAGAAAACTAGATCAAAATGCAAAATATACAAATCATTTCTAAGCATTCAATAAATGAATTTATTTATAAACTTTCTTAAGGTACGCTACCCTAATATAAAATGAAAAGTTCAATATACAACACTGAGATACAAGCAAGAAATTGCCTAGATGCAATCAGAAAAACCAAAGGAAGAGTTCATTGTCAGTTAAACAAATAACAAGATTCATAAAAGATGTTGGGTAAGAATTTCACAAGCAGGGCACAACAACTGTTCTCTGTATGTAAACTACAAAGCGAGTTAAAAATTTCAAACTTTTTATCAAATATTTTACACGCATCCACAGCTTAAAACTCTTAGGACCAAAAATAAATAAATAACTTCACAGACGTTCCCCTTTATCATTAGAAAATGAAACTGCACACAAAACACGCACAGCCAGGTGCACAAGCAAAATTCCACAAGACCTGTTATCATGCAGAGGGCAGCCTTGTGTGAAAACAGTCACTCGCAAAGCAAAATGCCGAATCACCAAAAACAAGGCGTTATCTTGTTCACTTACCCGAAATACACAACAAACCTTTCCGTTTCTACCCTGTCAACAAAGAAAGAAGTGTGGGAGCGGGCAAAAGAAGCAGGGCACACTTGCCAAAATCTCACAAGTACTGCTAGAAATGTAGAATGGCAAGGGAAAAATAACGCTAAAGAAAGTCTTTCTCTTTTTTTTTTTTTCTTTCTTCCCAAGAGCTAGTAATGTTCACTTTCTGGGAATCCTGCACCCCGGGTTCTTTGCTATTGACAAGTGCTAGCAAGAGGTTCTGCAGTTCCCACTTCTGGACGATGACCCCATGGCCGGCTGGCATGTCACAGCCTATTCAAGACTTTCCTCCCCAGACCTCCTGCACCCACTGTGCCTGCCAAGCGCTGTGCATGCCCACAAACCGCAGCAGCTGAGCAAATTCCATTCAACCCTACTTATTATGACTTAGTGGTTTTAATTAGGTTTCGAAAAAAATCCAAATCTCCATCTTCAGATCTAAAGCCAGTTGTTCATTGACTTGGGGGAAAAAAAAAAAAAAAAACTCTGTAAGCAAAGAAATTCATATACCTTTCATCGTCTGTCCAGGAGCATACCCAAGAAGCCATATCATTGTACCTTTTTAACTGTGCCAAATCTTACTTCGGGACAACTTATAACAGGCAACCTAAACCTTTTTCCAAATCCCCAATGTATTTCATTTTCAAAAAGCCTTGAAGAGTACATGTCAAAATGGAAAGGCCTTGAGCTTCATTTTTAAAGTCAAATACACCATTTATAAATATGGGGTTATATACCACATATATCCAAAATTTTCTGAAATTAACTGTCATCATGAAATTGCTCCTGATTTGAGGAAAACCACACACTGGAATATTTTAAACTAGTGTTGTATTTGAAAACACCATAAATTGTTTAGAATCAGGGCAACTTTTGCTATATATGGTTGAAATACAGAGAATTTGAACTTGGATTTGACATTAAGAAAAAATTATAAACTGTATCATAATAAAGTGTTAATTACCTTTTGTTGCACTACTGTATTATAACCACACTTCCTAGCATTCATGTATTCTTTCATTTCAGTTTTGTTTAAAAATTGCAAAATTAAGAGGTAGGTTTTGATAAAATATGCTATTTCAAATTACTGATATTTTTCTCATGCTTATTTAACCAAATATGTCTCTGAACACTCAAAGTTTATTTTGCTCATTCTCACTCATGTACAAATGAGATAATACAAGTATGCATTCATCAAACTAAAATGCTTCAATACACATTTAAACTAATTTCCTCTATTTGAAAAGAACCAATAATTTCTGAAATTTTCTATACTATGATTTGTGCTACCTTGTGTATTGTTTTTACCCACAGGAGTGAGAAAAAAATAAAAACAAAAAACTTTAAAAAGATATTTAATTTCAAATGTTTATATTATAAGATTTTAAAATGACTATTTTGAAAGAATATAAAGAAAAGTCACTATGAATTTGCAAAGGTATAATCTAAACCATTCTTTAAACATTTAGTTAAGAGCAGAAACTCTCAGCTGGGCTAACAAAGTTTCAATGGATTACTAGAGCTTGGGTTTATAATCACTGTTCATTTTTCTTTAGTTTTTTTTTTTCAAGATTGCACATTGATTTAATAGTTGCTCAAACCCAACTTAAAGAAAAAAGGGTTTGAGCAACTATTAAATCAGTGGACAATCTTGCAAAAAAAGCTAAAGAAAAATGAACAGTGATTATAAACCAAAGCTATAGTAATCCACTGAAACTTTGTTAACCCAATTTAAAGAAAAAAGGCGAGACCTCATCTCTACAATAAATCAAAAATTAGCTGGGCGTGGTAGCACGTGCCTGTAGTTCCAGCTACTTGGAAGGCTGAGGAGGAAGGATTGCCTGAGCCCAGCAGGTCGAGGGTGCGGTGGCCAGAAGTGGCCACTACACTCCAGTCTGGGTGACAGAGTGAGACTCCAACTCAAAAAAAAAAAGAAAAAAAGGACATAGGTGAATGTTAATAAAACAACAATTTTCAATTTACTTTTCATTATATTTTACTGATTTTTTTTAAAAAATCAGATGAAATATCTTTCTTGAAGATTAACTCTAAAATATTAAAACCATAAGTCATCTAGGGTGTGTGTGTGTGTGTGTGTGTGTGTGTGTATGTGTGATTCTGTGTGCATGTGTGTCTGTGGTGTGTTGTATTTAGTTTTTGCTTTTTGGTTTTTTTGTTTGCTTGGTATTTTGGTTGTTGTTTTGTTTTATATTTTGTGTAAGAAAGAAAGTCAACACAATGTAGTTCTGAAAACAAACAAAAGGAATGGTGAACATGCACTAGATTTGTTCTCTACATTCTATATTCTTTCATATAAAAACAATAAACTACTCATCAGGTTTTTAAAATGTGATTAGACAAAACACACACACAAAAAAAACTAAAAGGTGCTGGTAATAAAATATAAAGAGATCCAGGGACTATATAAAATAATTTTTACTACTTCAGTCCTGAATAATATAATAGAAAATATCTCTTGAGTTTACTGTAAATTTTACTGTTTCTAAATATGAATTATACAAAGCCCTCAAGTCACAGTAACCCCTTCTAATATGTACCAAGTTTCACAAAAAGAGACTTGCAGTAGGTAAGGTTGGTTTTGATGTTTAAAAATCATTAAAACCAATTAAACACAATACAAAAACTCTTTAGAGACTGCAAAATTTTCTTAATATAAATTACCCACTTAGAAAAGCTAAATAAATTCTTTTCATTACTGAAAAGGTATCTCTTAAATTTGTGCTCTAACTAATACAATAAGTAGTTTTTTCTTATTTTCTGGAAAAGAAATATTATTTAATGTTTAAATTCCACATAAAAGAGAATTTCATTATATGAGGATGAATGCTTTGATTTTACTCACCATTCAATAAACTACTGTCAATGTAAAAAAAAATCTCAAATCCTCTCTCCTGTTGAAAATGAAGCCAGCAGAACTGTTTGCTTAACCTAGCATTGCAGATTTGCTGCTGCCTTTTTGTTAACATAGCAACATACTAGCTATGCTTCAGATTTATCTGATACCTTCTATAATTCCATATGTAATGCTTCTTCACAATGAAAAGCAAGGTAAAAGTTCACTAAAAGATGTAATTATATTCAGTCTAGCCAGAAACCATCAACAAATAACAGAAAAGTCTGAAGGCTAGCCTAACGCTATTTACTTGATTTTTTTTTTTACTTTATATGAAAAAAAGAAATAAAACAAAAGATCAAAGTTATTTAAAAGAATTCAAACAACTGTTACTAAACATTACCCAATGAGTTATTACCTGTCTAGAGAAAGTGTTACAGTTTCATTCATTTCTGGTACATCATCACCTTTGACGGTAATGTTGATTGTTGTGTCACTTTGCCCAGATAGAAACAAAACAGAGCCATTAAAGGGACCTATATCATCCAGGGTCACTGCTTTTGAATTCAAGCCAGAGGGCTTTAAACTCCAATAGACAGTAGCCTGACCATCAGTTCCATCCCGATGCAAGGGAATATAAACCTTATGAAAAGAAACACAGAACAATTTCTTCCAAAACATATGCTCACAAATTATATAAGCTTTGTTGTTAGTGTGTGCACATATTAAGATATGAATGTATGTATTTTCTATGGAGAAGTGAACCATCATGTGACATTAAAAACACAATTAAACAAACCTTCACTTTAAGCCTGAAAATAATTTTAGATATGACTTTATTATTGTTAGGCAAATTTATGTAGAAAATTATCCCTACCCAATAATGCATCTAACCTGAGACGTACTAAAAGACAAATCTTTTAAAAGCCAACAAACTGTGAAAAACACAGAACAATCTTGCTAAAGAATAAATTTCCACCAGAGGTTCTGAAAATAGAACTAATTTAGTATCACAATATAAACTGAAAAATAAACTTTTATGAATAAAATGGAAAACAGTATGTTATGTAAAATGCATCCTAATGGATGGGGGCAAAATAAGAAAATGCTTCCAACCAATACAATAAATACAGTCAAAATAAAATCAGATACTCATGTCATGACTCTGGATTACCTTGAACAAGTTACTGAGCCTCTTTGATCTCAATTCTCGCATGTGAAATGAAGCTAATGATTCCCTATTTTGCAAGTTTGTGAAATATAGAGATCGCTTAAGTGAAGCAACCAGTACAGTGCCTCTTCACAGTATACACTAAATAAATGGAAGCTATTATAATAATTCTGAAACAAATTGTATTTGGCAGTTTTGTTCAATATACATAAAACAATAAAAGGATCACCATAGATCACGATGAATTTTTACAAAAAAAGACTATAAAGGAACATTATTAATATTATGCTCTCCTTGATATGCTAAAAGAGGAGTATCTCTTTTTTTCTTTGCTCTTTAATATAGCTCATCTTGAAAACAACAGAAGATACTTTCACCATTAACCGTTCTGTTAACTTTGGCTGGCAACGGTCACAACTCAAGGCTAGAGAGTAAAATTCTAAGGGAAGACAAAAGAAGTAACACAGGGCTGTGCCCCTCAGTCACCCCGAGGGAGTGTGTGTTGCCGGGGCTGAGTAAGGCTCAAACAGAACAAGGGGTAGCTCCTATTTTCTGCTGTTTCCCAAGAAAGGAAGGAAGCAGGTCCAAGGAGCCCAAACCTTTTCCTCAAAGCCAACTTCTCTCAAGGGAAAAACATGAAATGGTAAATGTATAGCTTTCTAAGACAAACAAATAAAAGCAAGTTCTTGTTAAGAACAAAGTAAATGCTTTTTAGTTTTTAGAAGGAAACAGTATATTAAGAAAAAGACAAAAAATCCAAACCATCTTGAAAACTGAAGCTTCTCTGTCCATTTATAGAAGCCAATGTACAAACAAAGGAAATTGCGGTCACCATATTTTGACATGAGGCTTTGATAACAAAACAACTCTCCTCATTCCTGATCTCAACCTCAACCCAATTTAAATTACATCTAAGTGGAGGGACTTGGAGAGGGTCTCATGGACAGATTGTGGCTCAGGGAAGTGGTAAGACTGAAGGGTTGAGCAATCCTTAGATGGATGGAGGTTTGGGAAAAATTTAACTAGGGTATATGTGGTGTCAGGGAGGCAGGTGAAAGAGTGCTATGTAAGTGAATATGCTTTTGTGTGTGTGTGTAAAAATTTACATATACTGTAGATTAAAAATTTCTGCCAGGTGCAGCAGCTCACGCCTGTAACCCAAGTTCTTTGTGAGGCCACAGCGAAGATTGCTTGAGTCCAGGAATTCGAGACCAGCCTGGGCAACACAGTGAGACCTCATCTCCACAAAAAAACCAAAAAATTGGCAAGGCGTGGTGGCCCATGCCTATAGTCCCACCTACTGAGGAGGCTGAGATAGAAGGATTGCTTCAACCCAAGAGTCTGAAACTGTAGTGAGCCACAATAATGCCACTGCACTCCAGTCTGCACAACAAAGTGAGGCCCTCAATCAATCAATCAATCAAATATAACTTCGTAAGATTTCGCATTCCACAGTTTTACACCACCATCTCCACTCAACATGCACAGAACTCAAGGCAGTCACTTCAGTCCTATACAAACATATATAGTGTCCGAAGAAGGTCAAGAACACCTGTACTACTATGACTTGGCCTTTTTCTTTGCTTTTTTTTTTTTTTTTTTT